CGCTGTACCTGTGCAAGGATTTAGGATTGGGGTTCTAGGAATAAAGACATAAGCCTGTAGCCCATACCTGTCTTGGAGCCTCACCCCCGATCCTCAAATTCATGAGAACCCAAACGCTGAATCTGTCAGTCTAAACCAGAAGTTCAACAACACTGCTATTTCAGCCATTCCCCGCAGCCTTTCAACTGGAAAATCGCACGTGCAGCTTCCATTCAGAAGCTGCAATCCGACCATTAAAGTTATCGCCAACACGACATCCTGGTCTGCAGGCTACCTTCAACCAGGATCTGGCTACAGCTGTCCTACTACAAGCCCACTCGAAACTGCCCATAACTCAAAGTAGATCCAACACCTGCTGGTGTTTTGTATCTGGTCTTGTCCAGGTCTCGGCACAGGATGCACTCATGGGTTCAGGCAAATATGGGTGCTTCTCCGATCAGGGTTATGCTGGCAGTGTATGCATTTCTGTCGGTACCTCGTCTCGCAAACCAAAAGATCGGTCTAAGAAAATCTCCCACATGCTGCCGGAGCATGAATCAGAAGCATGCCCATGCACGGAACTGTTGCAAACAACCTTAAATGCAGTCCTCGCCCTCAAAGCGAAGCAACCGCAAATCAGATCCCCAAATTACGCCCTTGGCCCCCAAAGCTGGACAAGTCTAGAAATCCTCTAGCCCTGAACTGTCCGGACGCCTCTTGAAATTGAAGTCTCCCTTTGCACTCCCGGAGGCACCCACAATTTTCAGAACCCGGGCCTAAACCACGGAAGCATAACCCCGCCACCATTTTGAATGCTCCCACTTAAGCCCTCAGCAATCCTAGACAGAGACGCACGATTTGGTGCTAACCTCCATCTGAACCGTAGCACCTGTTTTGTGACAGGATGTGACCGGTACTCCACTTGCCACATATCAGTGGCTGCTTGGCTTTGCAGAGTTTGAAGCCGTGCTCGTCGCCAGGACGTAGCTGACAACTCCGACAGAAACGATCAGCAGAGACCTCGGTGACCAGTGGCTGGTGCTAACCCCAGAAGCACTCCAACGTGAGCATTTCCACCAAGATAGGTTCAACTAGCCTCCCCTCTAAATACATACATACATACATACATTCATACATACATACATACATACTACCAGCAAAGCCACAAAAGAGACAGATGACAGTAACCAGAAACCTTTGGCAACTTATCCTATGCTTCCCTCCCAGCTGACGAGCAATCCATGTGAGCTACAGTCTAAACTCCTAGTATCCCCCTTATAACCCCGCTTTAAGGAGTTTAAGGCCTGAAACCCTAAACCAGTTTAGTCCCTAAACTCTATATAACCCCCTTTCAAGGAGCTTAGACCCTCTAAACTGTATGTAAACTCCTAAATAACTCGCCTTCAGGAGTTCAGACTATAGCTCATGCGAAGCTGAGTCTAGGGCAGACCTTTGACTGGAGAAAAGCATTGCGAGGGATCCTGCCTTGCATCTCAACAAAGGACAAGGAGTCTAGGGCTTAAGGTTTAGGATTCGGGGTTAGCAACAGAGCACAAGAAATTTAGGCTCTAGGGCCTTAGGGTTTAGGGGTTTCAGGGTTTAGGGATTTAGGGTTGTAGACTTTTAGGCTTTAGGGTTTAAGAGTTTAGGTAGGAAAAATGAGCCCTGAGCCCTAAACCTGGCATGACTGGTCCTGCAGTAAAGCACATGGGAAAGGGCGAACACCGCCACCCCCTGCAGAGCCTTTGCAACGCCTGTCGACACGGCCCCTACCTGAGATGGATTTAGGGTTACGGGTCATGGACATTTCTGAAAGTTCGGGCAGTTCATGGCAGTTCTGAAAAATTGTACTCCCTCCTGCCACCAGGTAGGCATATTACGCAACACGAGAGCTGCTGAACCCAAATCCGGCAAAATCCCTTCTATGGTACGCCCCCACCACTTCTCTTGAGTTCGCGGAAAGGTAGCAGGCCAGAGCAGTGAAGTCAGGCCAAACAATGTAGTCGAAAGCACATCTCCTACTTCTCCCAGCATGGGTAACTTTGTCTGTGACCGGCTTCAGGGACCGTTGTATCCCTACGCCTACTTCTAAAACTTTAACTCGAGTGAACCCAACGCAAGATCGGACTCCATCTGTAGCCAAGGTTCGCGAGTCAGCAAGTAGAAGAAAGTCCCAGCCTCAGCGGCGAAGACTCAGATCTGTAGATCCCTGACTGGCCAGAAGACAGGCAAGGAGTTACATAGAGGCTGTCTAGCAGTAAGGGATTGCGTCTAAGGAGCAATGTGACTTTTGTACAACTGCTTAGTTGCTATTAAGTGAACCCTCTTGCTTATAATTATTAATCTGGCAGATGGATCCCCATTAGAGCACCTGCTCAGGGACAAAGGCTTAATGATCACGTCTGCATAGCACACATCCTAGATTTGGGGACATATTGCTGTGTGAGAACATGATGCTCAGTCATCCACTGTGCGAGACACAGCATGCGTCGCAACTACTTCAGCAACCGTTACCAATACAAATTGTGCAGCGTCGCCGGTCTAGATGAGCACACTCACCACCTGCAAATGGTGGTTCCTATCTGTGTGCCATGAACCTCCGGCCACCACAGCTCATAATTTCTTAGCACGATGTAGTCGTTTACATCTATATCGGGGGACCCCAATATGGACTCGAAAGACCAAAACACTTGTTGCAGTGAACCCCAACAAAGGTACCCCGAATTTTTCAAAAGCGCATGTCCTGTTTGTAGGGTTCCCGGGTCAAGGAGCTTACAGAGGTGCTCCGCTCCTCCTAGTATTAAAACACCCGCACCCCCTCCCCCCGGCCCCCCCAGCCCCCCCACACTTTGTTTAAATCATGTTGGGAACATGTTTCAGATTATGGTGGTTTGGTGGTTTTGGTATTACACTAAACCCTATTAGGGGGAGGGGATTACTTTGGTTTGGTTGCGCAGGCTTAGCACCTGCCAGTTTACGACTACAGGCTACAGGGGCTTAGTGTCTGCTGGCAAGCAATCCCCTGCAATTGTGGCTGCTTTCGCGGCTGCCCTTTTCCATGGTTCACCACCTGCTCTGCCCCAGACCAGCAAACCCTTAACAATCAAGTCCCAATTCCATGGGATTCTCCGTCATATTGCGCCCGATCGTGCCCATGTAGAATTTCCCCATATACTAAAACCCTACACTTAAACCCTTAACTGCGAAATTAGGCCCTAAACCCTAAATAGTAGTTTCTATTCTATTTTCCAGTATTCCAATATAATATAACCCCAATAGCCTTAAACCCTAGACCCGAGTCCTTTGGCCCGAGTTGCATGCACGAAGTTCCCAAACGCCACGGAAAAGAGCAGCAACGATGCGCCCAACGGTGAGGTTCCGGCCTGCCGGATCTAACGTTGCCTACGAACTACAAGGGTTTAGGGCTTAGGGTTCAGGGTGTTCTCAACGGTAGGGTTTAAGGTTCCTCTTCGATATGATATTTGGAGAAAGTACCACCCAGCAGAAGCTACATGACCCTTGAAGACTTCGATTCTATTGCTTTGCATGTGAGGTCCATGGGTTGCTGCACTCCATGGGTCCTCTTGCGCGTGCTTGCGGTTCAGGACTTCCGGCTGCAACGTGTGCCTCTAACTGCGGCGGACCTGATTTATCCGACACATGTGCCGCGGCTTCAGACATGATACCTTGTTTTTGGGCAGAAACCAAAGTGACAAGCCTATGTGCGCTGGCCCATTACTTGAATTCCTCGAGGTCTTCCTGCACACTTCATGTTATGTCAGCAGGCATTCGCTGATCACAAGCATCATCATTTACGCTTTGTAAAGAAGGCTCTTATAAAGATTCAAAGGCACCAGACCAGCTTCTTTGTCTCGCATGCTCGCAGCAAGGGTCTCGGATTTAGAGAGGGATACAAAGGGTGAGACAGAGGGGGCGGAGGCTGCAAAAGGACGCATGTGAGTTCTTCATTTTTCGGGAGTTCCCTGTGATGATGAGGACCGCCAAAACGAACCCAACCAACTCTTATGTATATACCTAGCACTCTCCCCCTATGCAAACCTTGTATACTCTCTTTCTACATAAATCCTAAAATATGTGTATATATATATATCAAGATTGCAAAAAGAACTCTACAGGCGCAGCGGAAACCTTCGACTTCCTTTTCGGTCCGGGCAACCATCTATCAAGCCATGGCTTCAATCGTCTTAGGGTCTGCGCATCTAGGGGTTTAAAGTTAAGGGTCTCTTCATCTATACAGGGGGTGGAAGTCTTGCCCGGTTGGAAAGACCAGCAGTCATGCAAGCTTGCATGTGAGGGTTGTTCTAAACCACTATCTTCACCTTCGGAGTCTTTAAAAGCTTTGCCATGAAGGGCTACCCTCAGAGGTTGAGAAGAGCGCCTTTGTTTAGAACAACCGCTGTGCTCACGGCATATGTTTTGCCGATGGAGCGATAACGTTTGGTCTCGCAATATGTATTGCCCAGTTGCAGCGTGGCGCATGCCGGTGCATCGACGTACACAGGAATTGGTGATCAAGCTATCTACAAGTAACCCACATAAGGGGTTTCCGAAACCGGGGGCCCAATACAGCATAATATATACCCCAATCCCCGAAAAGGGCCCATGATTTCTTTAAACCCGCAAGTCTTTCCTTCCTCTGCAGCCATCACGCAGGCATGCCCCAAAACCCCCCAGACAGACGAAACTCTTCGGAGTGCTGGCCTGCACGGCTTTCACACACACATGACCTCGAAGCGGTGAGTCCCAGGCTGGGACCTCCCCTACCACACGCCTGGTTGTTTGCACGTGTATGATTATATCTGTGTATATGCTTTACGTGCAGAATGGTCTACGAGCTGCACCTTGAGGTACGAATCCAGTATGAGCCACAAGAGATGCATCATCGCGTCGTGTACATCACTGAGAAGGTTCATATGGAAGTTTCTCAAAATCATGGGTCCCTCAGGGGCTATGGCTACACATTTTGTTGTATATCTGGCCCCTTTTAAGAAATACCCAGATCAAGAGGGCGGCACTTGGGCTGCAGAAATGGTGCCAATTTCTGGCTCAGTCCGGTAGACCAAGAAAGACGGCATGTCCGGGAAGGCCACGGGAAAGGGATTAGAGGACTGAAACGGTATCACATGGGTGTAGAAGGGCACGATTGCAAGCAGTGCAAGTGCAAAGTGGAAGCCTGGGGCCATGCCACAGTTCTCATAGCAAACAGAATGCCCCGCATAGCCACAATCCGGTTCCCAGATTGCCGTCATCAAGTAGCTGGTCATTGCCAGAACGTAGAAGCAACTGCGGTAACCGGCACACGGGTTGCTGCCAACAGCACCCGGGGAAGGATCTTTTGATCTGTCGTAGTTGCATGCCACTGCCCAAGCAAAAGAGCATACAAAGGTTAAAGCCGTTAGACACCACATGAAGCCTTGAAAGTGCCTGTCCTCTGGTATCGCAACATCGACGAAGCCAGCGAAGACCGCTGCCAGACCCAGAAACCAAACTGCTACCTTCAGGCACCTGGGAAAAGCAGAGCCACAAAAACCAACTGCTCCAGAAGGGCCGAAAGACTCTGAACAAGATTTTGGGGTGCCATATACTGAAACCCTGCCAGGAAGAACCCTATACTATGGCGCAAGAAAGGCTGAAAAATGGCTGCTCGTGCCAAGACACCTTGAAGTACACATGGCTTGCACCGCCCCACAGCTAGTGATGAGCAGGCAAGTCCAAGCCAGGATAATGACCACCTTGCTTGTCTGGATGCCCCAATTTGCACCAGCCGGATACACCTGCGTAGACACTGCTGCAAGGAGAAATCCAACGGCAGAGAGGACAAAGAACAGGATGCAAAGCAAGTCACTTTTCCAGGCGAAGTCCTCCTGCTCGATACTCAGATCAACTATAGCGAGCCACCTGAACTTCTTCCGCTTCGAATACAGCAGCATCAGGCTAAAAAGGAGGCAAAGCCCACCGCAAACGTAGAAGTTCACCAGAGTGGGCCCATGAGCAGCTGGCGTCTGTGCAGGGTCAGGGACTGCGGCATCGCACTGCATGGCTCGCCACAGAACCACCAGGGATGTTCTCCTAAACCGTAAACCCTGAACCTTAAACCGTTCGGTTCTGGGCCGTTGCAATCTTGTGTCTCCAAACATGTTGGAGAGCAATTCTATCTCACACATCTCGCGGATGGGGTTTGACATATTTGAATTCCTCTTGGGGAGGCCTCATCTCAGATATTCTCGGCTTTGAGGGCCCAAAAGGGGAGCTCTGCTACGCAAGGTCCAAAATGCGGCGCAATCCTGCAAAATCGCACTTGCAAAAGGTGGGCTTGCTTTGCAGTGATTCTCCATAACTCAGTAACTCCTTGGATTATAAAGCTCTCAGCAATATGGCTGTCTTATTTGAACCCAACTCCAGGCTCCGTCCCCAACTACAAATAGGGATCCTGGAATCATCGGACTCCAGTCCTAAACCCTAAAACCCTAAGCCTAAACCCTAAACCCTAGCCTAAAGATGCCTAAAGCCTAACCCCAAGCCCTGTTGTTGAAGGAGGACTCTCTGACGTGAAGCCCTAAAAACCTAAGCCCAAAACCCAAAACCCAACGCTTCTGCTTGCTGGCCTCTTCCATGGGCTCTGCTATACGCTCCCAATGCGTGGTCGTAAAGAATAATTGCCAGGATCCTGGCTAAACATGATTCTAAAGCCCTATATTACCACTATAAAGCCCGAGATATCCCTATGATCCCCATATAAAAACCCTATCTATAATCCCTATAAAGCCCTATAAAGCCCCATATGCACAGCCTTTGGAGTAGGTTTAGGCATAGGTTGCGGGTAAAAGGCTCAGCTATCAAGGGTCTTACGCTCTGGGATTTCAGGTTTGAGGTTGAGGGCTTGGATTTGAGGCATTCTAGGAATGAAGGTTGGGGGCTCAAGGTTCGGAGTTACTGTAGCTTGTGCAGGCTTTGACATATTCAAAGGTGATATGCTAATTCCTGACTACTCAAATGTTCTCACCGAAGCTGCCCGATAAATGGCGGCCTAGCCAAAAGCCCCACCCCGCACCCCAACCCAGAACCTGCAGCGCTAGAAACCCTTCAACGTTAAAAGGTTCAGGTTTCAAGATTTAAGGAATTTTAAACTCATCTATGCTGATGGGCATGCCCTAGTTACACGTAGTACTTCTGCTGCACGGCCTATGAATATCTGTATTTTTCCTAGTTCAAACCCACCTGGAACTACCCACGAGACTCTGTGCGATCCCTGATGAACGCAGAGCTCCGCAACATTGCAAACGTGCAGAAGCTTTGACAAGTCCGAAAATGATCCTCACTTCTTCACTGTAGCATTCTGGGGCAGAGCCTGCCAAGCACGGTTATACTCATGCAGCCTCGCCTTTCACTAGACAACCCTTTCATACTTACGCGATACTGATTGTTTCACATGCTTACTCGGCGTGCAAGAAGCAAAACTTCATAATCATGTTTGGAATGACCCCTACGCCCCTAGGCCAAGACACTGGCCCTTCATAACCCCTCTGGAAATTCCCTATCTACTATACCTCACCTGGCAAAGAATCCTCAAGCCGAAGCCCGAACCCGAAACCGTTTTGCAACAGACTTTCTGAATCCGCCCGGAACTCTAAACCTTCAACCCTAGCCCTAAACCCTATACCCCTTAGAGCGGGTCCTACAACAGCGCAGCCCGTGAATCCCTGGACTGACGCATTCAAATGAGCGGGAATCCTGGCAGCCAAGGAAGCACTGCCGGACTTTCAGGGTTTAGAATTTATGGTTCTACAGTTTTCTTAGGACTGCCATGCGTTTCCAATGGTTTCGTTGTACAATGGAAAATACGGAGCGGCGCGTAAGCGCACTTCCTAGGTACTCACCACATTGCGGGTTTTGTGGATTAGTTGTTTATGCCCTATAAAATCATTTCTACCTGGTTTGGCGTGGTGGTCGAGATAGTGGTTGAGGAATCTAACGGCTTCATTGGATACAAGTTCGAGCCAGTATCTGGCAGGATTACCTCTTGATTTCGACATGGTAAATTTGATGCGACAATTTGATGAAGTCCTTATAGCCAAGCGAAAAAACTCCATGGTGCAAGGGTTCTGTTGGCGGTGTAGTCGCGCACTGAATAAGAAGCTTAAACCGCTGCTGAAGGATAGGCTGGGAGGGAATGTAGGGTTTTCTGCAGCCCTCCATACTCTTTCGTTTGAAATTTTGGAATACTATGAATACTTGATTGAGAGGGCGCGCCTTAGACATCGAAAATACCAGCCTTCAATAGTCTTATAATGCTGCTGTTTCAATGAGCATTTCAACAATACAGTGGGGCAGGGACGATGGTGGAGTGGAAGATGCGTCCGTTTGTACTGGCCCACGCGCGTCCTCTGTGGTGACGAAACCGACGAAGCCCCAACCCGCTGGGGTAGAGGCTGACCATCTTACTTGCGAGCCCGAGCCGTGTAAATACTGACCATAACTCCGCCGCGGGGCGTGCAGTTGGCGTGGTAATGGAAGGATCAGAATAAAGCTTTCTGAAGGCTATGTTGAAGGAATACTTTATCTTTTGTTGAAGGAATACTTTGTCCCAGGATCTACGCTGGGATAATGACATTGCATACGGGCGGTGTTTTGGGGGGCCTAGCTTTGAGCTTAACCCTCAAAGCCACTTCCAAAAAAACTGGTCGCTAGGAAAGCCCTTGTTGAGTACCGAGCCGACTCCTTGCATACTAGGCAACCACTGCGATCTGGTGAACATCCTGTCCAACGACTGAAATCTCAGGGGGGGTCTGCACGCAGCAGTAAGGCTGATATCTTCTACTTGGGCGGAGGAAAGATTTTAGCCCAGAACTGCATCCGCTCTTGGTAGTATGTTCTCCTGCACAAGTTGTCGCCATTGCCAATAGAGTATAGAATTGTTTTCGGAGGCGGTGTACTCCGGCGCCCTTGCCTAGAGAAGGGGGACGCGGACGGGGGGCTGAGGGTTTACGCTCTTTGCGTTCTGCCGAAGCAGAGCCCGGCGTGCCTCCTGGAGGCCGTGTGGGCAATCCAGATTGCGCTAGAGCTGAATTCTTGACTTCGGAAAGAAAGGGTCGCGCGACAGGCTTGTGCCTCTAATTTGGCTTGGTAATCTGTCACTGGGTGTTTGGGATCGGCTCTCACGCCTACGGATTCCTGTACGTGATGCACTGAGGTTCAATTTGGGTTCCTGCAATAAAATTTGTTGCAAAAATGGTGAAGCAGCTCGCTGCTGGGATAACGGGTTTGAGTGACCTCCTTCCCGAGATAGGACTCGAAGGTTCGCGATTGGTGAGAAAACAACACAGCTGCTACAGAAAACTCAACCTCCGCGGGCGGGGCAAGCTGTCAACCTAACGTCGATTAGGCGCGTTGCGCAATCCAACCGGCGCAGGCGCCTGTGCAGCAAAAAGCTCAGATCAAAGCTTGCTACGCCGGAAAAAATGGTGAAGACCTGCCCTCTGCTCGGACTCCGCCCTGCACCAAGAGGATATTTGCCGGCTTCAGGTCAAGGTGCATGACCTTGCGGGCGTGCAAGTACGCCAGGCCACGCAAAACGTTGACACACTTGCTTCACGTCCTCTATACAGCAGCCTGTGCACTGCTACTGTGCCAGCAGTTGGGCCGGGGAAAACCAAGTGCAGTTGCCCACCACTTGCCCAGGCTGTTTCCAACAGGGCAAAGTGGTTACACTTCTTGGCCCCCAGCTTGCTGAACTCCGACAGCATGCGGAGTTAACGGTTAAGCGCTTGCACGGGCCCGATCTTGACTGCCACGCGGGCAGTGTTGTGATCAGCCAAGAACACATTGCCGAACCCGCCCTCGCCCAGGTCGCCTCGAATCACATGTATTCTACCATGTGTTTTATGGTTTAGGGTTTTATGGCTGAAGGACTTGGGGATGGGGAGCTGAGGAGTAAGTGGGATTTGTTGGACTTCTCAACAGCGCAAAACAAGGGATGTATTTAAGGATTGCAGGGAACTATCGTGCTCCTTCTTGCCAGTTCATAAAGAATTTCTGAAAATCCTGGGATAGTATTGAGTGATCTCTGTCCGTCCCCATACCGCGGATCCGGTATACTCTATACTGGGTGTTAAACAATGGAAAATCTTGAGGTTAAGGAAAAGTTTGCGGCTGCGTGTGTTGCACTATACTTCCATGAGGCCTCTACAGGGCCAGCTATTGAAATTATCCGGATTTTTGGCTATTGTTGCGAGCTTCCTCTAAGATTATCTTGGCAGGCACACAAGGACACAGAGCTCAGCCCAGCTCCTGCTTTCCCTTAAAGTTGAAGGAGTGACGTGATAGGGGATTTTGTCCTTTTCAGGGCCCTGTTTCAAAGGTTGGAAACATGTGAACGTGGCCATCAGAAGCTGGGCTCACGATTGTGACTCTAAACTCTACACCACGATCGCACATATTTCACCGTTGACCGGAAAGACGTGGAGTTTTCCTACATAACAATGCGGCGGGAAGTGCGAAACTTCACTTAGGGATGATTTGGGTCCCGGACAATGTCATTGCCGATTAAAGCCGCAGTAGAAAGTCCGAGAGTCTACGGCGCTGAGTGAAATCAGGGAAAAACACATCCAAGAGCTTCAAAAAGAAATATTGTTAACAACCTGTTATGTAACATAGGTGTTTGTAGCATGGGCTTGTCAACCTGAGATCCCATTGGTCGCGTCCTGGCCCCTCGCACGGAGAGCATTTCAGACAGTACATGGCAGGTGGCATGGAGCACCGTGCCTCTCAGACTGTCTGAGTCAAAGCAGTTCAAGGTTCGTGTCTTTAGGTTTGAGGGTCAAACCCTAAACCCTAAAGGCCCTAAAACCTAGACACTATAATCTCTAACAGCCAATAAGAAACTCACAGGAATAGGCTTAGGAATGAGGATCTGAAGCTGCTGCTCCATCAGCCTGCTAGCGGTATGTCTGCTTCCCGATATAATATCGCAAGCGTCAAGTTTCGGGGAGCATGTGCACAGGATCTGCAAGGGGATTGGTTTGCTGCCGCTAGGTTTTTGCAGGGAGTGCACAGGCTTGTCAAGTTGGTCGGTTACTGTTCGTCATCTGCACAGTTTAGTAGTGCAAGGTAGCGTGAACTTCAATACCAGCAGGTGAGAACCATTGCCATATTTCAACCATGCAAACGCGCCAAGATTCACCAGTCTTCGAAAAACATGTGCCGACAATGTGGACCAACTGCGGATGCCTGCCCCAATCATGCAGGTGCCGAGGAAGATGCAATCACCAGTGCTCCTGCTCACCGCCTAAAAGCCTAAACTTTAGGGTTTGGGGATGGTCAGTGACAGGACCTTATCAGGTCTAAGGTTGCTGAGCGCCTTTTTATGTGGTGCTGGAACGGCGCTATAATGGGACGTGGCTCGGCTACCTTCAAAATATGATGAACGCGGTCTGTGCCTAAGGGTCACAAAACTATAAAACGAGACCTCTGATGGTCCTGGGTTACACGACATGTCCTCAAAACAAGTCCTCCGTGCCCTCCTAAAGACTAAACTTGTAGATGGGGGTCCAGGGTGTAGGGTTTAGAGTTCAGCGCTTATGGTCATTGACATGAAAGGCTTATTTAGGATCTCCTCGCAGAATGTACAATGGAAGAGAAGGTGGAGAATAAAAGGGAAGCTGGGCTTCTGCAGGGCTTCTCAGGATAGTTGGGAAGATTGTGGTCCTAGATCCCTTTACTTACTTGCAGAATTTTAGTAAAGGTTAATTACCTCAAATAGACTCAGAAGGATGTTGGCAATAATTTGGGTTGGCCCCTACATCACATAATCCCTTCACATAACCTTGCAGATGCCTGGTGTCCATCATTCCATTTTCCATGTGCGTTTCCATTCTTGCGGTGATATCCCTAAACTCTAAACTCTGCATACTATAGTAGTTTCCATTTTCTTTTCCACTATCCCTACATAATCCCAATATATCCCGTGTATTGCGCAAGCTCCTGGCATCCACTCCAGTGACAGCCAAACCGCAGAAGACAGCGACGATGCTCAGCCACTGACTCAGTGTCAGGATCCGCCTTGGCAACTCCACAAACCGTCCACAGCCCTTGATGAATGGCGTTCATAAGATCTCATAGGTGTGATAGGTAATGGCAACAAGGTAGTTTCCCTAAAAAAGGGGACCCTAATGTATACCAGTATACCCCAAATACTATAAATCTCTTGTATACGGACCCCCCAAAAGGTACCCCTAATTTTGGGAAGCGCTCACAATCAGAAACTTACTGGCTTGGCGGCCCTAACATCGGTCTCTTCTTTCCCCTTGCTTCAAGGCGGCTGCAGCAGAATTCTGGAGAGGACCGCTGACCAAATGGTCACCGAGGCATACACAACAGCGAACACAGAGCTCCCAGCCTTGGCTTAGTGAGGGGGCACAGGAGCACTGAGAAGAGTATAGTTCCCAACTTTAGAAAGAATATAGGTTATATGGGGATCTTATAATGATATACCCAAAGCCACATTTTATCTACTTAAGGGGGACTATGCTACTAAAAGTAATAGTAAGCAATGAAGAATGACAAGAGTAACACGTGATAAAGGTCATAGCGGAGGAGAAACGTCAGGGTATCCCAAAAGCTCCAGGGATACAGCTGCCTCTGACTCGACATGAGGTAAAACGTATAACAATAATAGTCGTAGTACTAGTGGTAATAATAATCGTAATGCTAATAATACAAACTGTGTAAGTACTCAAAACGTTGATACAAACAATCGAATTCGGGGGCTACCAACCTGGAGCAGGCTGAATCTCCTTTCCCCAGGTACTGTAAAGATGCTTGCAGGGTCGAGGCCTGACATCTTGCGTCTCGCTGCGAGACTTGTGCTCAACTCAGCTGCCCTCCCTGATTTCCTCTTCAGCCAACTCTTGGGCGTCAAGTGATTCAAATCCGCCACGGCTCAGCCGTTCCTGAAGGACGGAGAAGATGGCACGCCTAGTTTCTGCACTGATGCCCTCAGCCCGCCGGATGCTCACTATAGCAGACACCGCACGGATCTCCACAGCCGGAAGGTCGGAATCAAGAACCGCGTGCAACAACCCCTGGAGACATTGCTGGCAGTCGGCAATACGCACAGCGACCTCATCATGACCAGCAAGAATGGCCAGGGCTCCGGTGGCAGCACTTTGCTGCCGTTCCACCTCTGAGGTGCAGAAGGCCCCAAAGATGTTGAGCTCGTTCTCAGCCCTCCCAAGCGCGAAACGCTCGGCCACCTCCTCGGCCATGGTCATGTTGCACAAAGCCTCCAGGCCGGCCCGTTGCACCT